AACTTCAGAGATGTGGGAAAGGTTGTCTTAGTTAAAATACAAACCAAGTATCTCAGCGCAACAACGGAGGTGTTCTGGAAATCATTATAATTACTTTGTTGCTGATAGACTGGCCTGTGACCAATGCTTATTATTTTCAGTGTCCATCTTATTTTTTTTTCCTGCGATAAGGAATCCCCACAGTTTGTGTCAACGAACTGGAATTGGGCGGAGGAAGACGAACAAAAGCAAGTGTGTTAGACAAATTACCTCTAAGAGAGAATAAGCATTTCGGGCTCTTTTTAAAATTTGGTCGGTAGTTTGGTTAATAGCAATTTCCTGACTGTCTATTAAGCATCCAGTCGCCATACTTTGGTTCTGATCAGCCCCCTTAGGAGACCTCTCAATTCAGAATCTTTCTGAAGCTGAGGGAACGGTTACAGTGGCTTATAATGATCTTGAGTGCACTGCCTGTGATTCCAAAGTCCTCCATTGCTAGCTCGGGCTCCTTCATTCCTTTGAGCCGTGTGCTGCCGAGGGAAGGGCCTGCAGTGAGTGGCAGGGTTTGGTAGGAGCGGGGCCGGCCTACGTATCTAACACCCGTTCTGCCACTGCGGGAGCGGGTATAGAAGAGATGAGACCCGCCACCCAGAACAGCCCGTAAGACAGGGTGTGGCAGCCCTGGCCTCCTCGTTCCCAGGCTTTGTGCCTCTTGAGAGGTTCAGTATTCAGTAAAGAATTGTATTCAGTTGGTCATTTTTATCAAACCTTGTATATACAGCTCTTCGTTTCTCTTCCTATGAGGTATTGCAATCCTTTCCTGGTTTTTTGGTTTTTGTTTTTGTTTTTGCCCCACTCTTGCATCTTAGAACCACAGACTCTCTACTTAGAGGACCTTAACATGTCCCAATTCATTGCTCTACTTGATACTTAAAATACCTCTTCACTCAGCTCTACCAGCTCTGCTAGCTCATCTTCCAAAATTGACCCTTGTGCTGAGCACTCATCTCCATACCCTTTATTGTCTCTTTTGGCCAAAGCACGAAGATCAAACTCAACAGCCAAGCTTTAGACCTCATTCCCAGTTATCCGTAACAGAGTCTGCACTTCTGCTCACGGGTCTCCCCGTCTAAGGCATGAGCTTTCCTGACCCTGTGACTTAACTGTGACGTGCTTTGACGTGGGACAGTCTTTGCCTCTCTCTCAGCCCATCCAGACCTCCCCATCCTGCCCCCAGATACCACAGCCCAGAATGATCTACTGCTCTTGTTGGCTGCTGGTCATAGTTTCCACAGCCTCTTGGAACTGCTAGGTATCCTGCAGTGAGAGAATTTTTCTCTCTAGATTGTAAGCTTCATGAGGGCAGGGACCATGGCCGTTTCTGTGTGTCTCCTCACAGTACCTCGAGCAATGCTCTGTCTGGAATTCAGAACCAATAAATGCCTGTGGATTGAAACAGAAACTCATTGATACCATCAAGAGTGGCACATATAAAAAGATAGGCGTGTTGCTAATTGATACTGTTGTGGTTTTTTGGTGTTTTCTTGAATCCCATCAAGGAAGGAATAACTTGAAGGAGAGGATTTGCCCCTAGAAAGAATTTCAGGCTTTTCCCAGGCTTCGTAAGATAGCTCGCTTACTGATCGGAAGGTGGGGAGGGATCACCACCCTCATGAGTCTGTCTGAAGACACACCCCACGTCACGGCACAACATTCAAGATCCCAGTACATCCAAAAAACGTCACTGAGCCCTCTGTGTGTGTACCAACAAATCGGGTCATTATACTTTGCAGGAATGCTTTTGATGTGTCCATATTAACCTTTTTTCTTTCTATTGTAGTTAGGGGGAGGGGAGAGTGATCTTGACATCTTGTTCAGATGACAGAAATGAACTGGCCGATTTGAACGTGTGATTTATGCTTTATCAGCAAAAACTAGAACATGGCCAGTAGAAATCATTAAATTTGGTAGTAATACATACTGGTGCTTGGGAAGAGACTGGGATGATCAATAGTATCGTGTGGCTTAAAGAGGCTCTTGGTATCTGGGGCACACACAAGCAGAACCCAAGAAACAGCACCCCACCGCATGGCTCCCTGTAAACACAACTGATGCAGGTCCCTTTCCTAAACATTGGAACAAGCTGTTCACCCACTGGCCGAGCTTCCTGTCAGGAAGTGGCGAAGTTGTTTCTCTCAATTTATTCCCTCCTGAATACCCAGTGTAGTGTCTGGAGGCAAGTGTTAAAAGCAAGAACAAATCAAAGTATGTGACTTCATAGATTCTTGGTATTTATTTGAGGTCCTTAAAAGTTATTGTCTGACTTTAACCTTGAGCTGTGGTCTCTTTGTAAGATCCCCCCCCCATCAATAATTTAAAAATATCCTGCACGTCCTTAGTAGTAGCAGATGATTCTTAAGACAACTGAACAAGGTCTTGAGGATCTCATTAAAGAATAGCACCAGGGCCAACTTTCCGGCTATTCAGACTGTGGGCCCTGGGCCAGCACATCCAGCAGCACCTAGAACTCCCTGGAAATTCTGACTCCTGTTGCCAGACCAAATGAATCATAATCTGCATTTTAATAGGTCCCACGTGTGCATGAGTGGATAAAGACGATGTGGTATACATTTACAACGGGATATTATTCAGCCATGAGAAAGGAGCAAATCCTGCCATTTGTGACAACAAGGATGGACCTTGAGGACATTATGCTAAGTGAAATAAGACAAATACTCCATGATCTCTTTTATGTGTGGAATCTTCGAAAAAGAAAAAAAAATCCAACCCAGAAACAGAATAGAATGGTGGTTACCAGGGGGTGGGGAGAATGGGAAGATGATGACAGAAGCTTTCAGTTACAAGATGAATGACTTCTGGGTATCTTAACAGCACGGTGACTGTAGTTAATAACACTGTATTGTATACTTGAAATTTGCTAAGAAAGTGGGTCTTAATGGTTCTCATCCCCAGGGAAAAATAATGAGACTATGGAGGTAGAAGGGGGGGAGGGGAAAGAAAGAATAAACTGGTCTCAAGTAGTTTATAGGCACCAAAATCCTTCTCAAATTTCAGTGTGCACAAATGCATTTGAAGATGATCATCGGGGGGGGGCGCCTGGGTGGCTCAGTCGGCGAAGCGTCAGACTCCTGGTTTCGGCTCAGGTCGTGATCTCAGGGTCGTGGGATCGAGCCCGTGCCGGGCTCTGTGCTCAGTGTGGAGTCTGCTTGTCCCTCCCCTGCTCCTCCCCCCGTTCTCTCTCTCCTAAATAAATAAAACCTTTAAAAAGCGAGAGAGATGATCATCCGTTATCTGCTAGGATTGTGACAACCATCCTGTCCGAGAACCAGGCACCCTGTTTTCAGCCGGGATCCTGAGGCTCCAAGGGGTGAGGTGAGGGACCCCGGGGTCAGCAGCCAGTACCTGGCAACACCCCCTGCTGTTTCTGTTGTGTGGAGCAGGAAAGAGAGGGCTTGGTCTCAGCAGAAGGGAGCCCGAGGGGAAGAACTTACTTGCAGCCACATACCACCTCCCTCTTGCACGCAAGGTACCAATCAGAAGTACTTGTGCACAGAGCTGTGGGGTCCGAACCAGACCGGCCTGATGTACTCTAGATGTGCAAGGTGCTGGTTACTCCTGGTTTATTGTGAGAGCAGCATAAACGGTGGATCCAGCCTGCACACGTGCTCACAGGTTGGTGATCCCCGGGTATTGTGTGTATCGCAAAGCAGAGGGGCTACTTGGCGACCAAAGCTTTTTATTCATTTTTAAAATTGTCTTACTTTTTCCAGATAAAGAGATGAAAATGATTACTGGTTGAGAATTGCACAGTTAGCTGATAAAATTATAAAGCCTAGGTATTTTATCATTGAGGGTGCAAGCCCAGAATAATGCGTCACAGAAAGTGCCTTGCTGGCAAACAGGAGAATGAAAACAGCTAAGTTGGCTGGTGCCACAGTGACCGAGCCTCCAGGGAAGGACCTCCAGATACTTATTTCTCCAACTCAGAGAAGTTCTCCTGAATGGCTGAACTGGAATGGACATCCAGGGGCTCCAGAGGCCTGGCCAGTTTTCAGCAGACCTTGAGATACAGTGGGCCTTTCGGGCTCCCCCCAGATCACTCTGCCCTCATTGGTTCCCCCCACCTCCCTCCCTCCAAGGACAGTTGAAGACCGTCTCCACATCGAGCTGGGCAGACTGCCTAAGGACTGGGACTTTCCAGTGATAGCAACAGTTCACAGTGACATCTACATGAGACCCTTCATTTACTAGCCAACCTACAAATGGGGAAGCTTCTGGGAGGTGATGGTTTAACAGGTAAGAGCACAATCTTTAGTGACAGACCAGGGTTCATGTTCCCCTGGGTGCTGACTGTGACCTTGAGCAAGTTACTTACTCTCCCTAAACTTCAGTCTTCTTGTCTGTAAAATAGGATCGTTGGGACGTTGGGGGGAGCACATACAACAGGGTTAATACAGTTCCTGTCATTTAGCAGGTGCTCAAGAAATGCTAAATACTGTTCTTTCTCCATGAAAAGTTATTGACTATCAATGCCTAACCCCTAACTTCCAGTTACTATGGTTATCAGTGACAGTACCTTACATTTTTTTCTCTTTGTAGTTGTATCTCTAACTTTTAATCCTCAGGACAAACCTGTGAAGCAGGTGGTCTCATTCTCCTTCAACTAGTAGGACAACTGAGGTCCGCAGGGTCTGAGACCCCGGGCTACTACCCACACAACTCAGACCCTTTGGCCCTGAGACCTGGTTCCTTGTCCATCACCCACCCTGTCACTGTGTGCGGCAAACACTTCCCAGAGCCTCCGAATCCCATCCTTTCCTCAAAGGGGGCACTTCCTACACTCTGCCCATGCTCTTCCCCCCTACAGTCTATACCTTGACCATGTAACCCATTCTCCCCACTAAGCCAGCTCCAGAACGAGCCACAGTAGGAGTGAGGTACATCAGAAAGTAAACTGACTCTAGCTTGAAAGAAAATAAATGCACCAGATAAAACAGCTGTTTTTGGAGGTCATCACAGAATTTTATATATAATGAACAATATTATAACTTATAATACAACCAAGATTTAGGTGACAATGGCAGGCCAGGTATCTTGCAAGTGTTACATGGTTAAAAATCTTTATACTTTACAACCATAGGTTAGAGAGAGGGATGCAATTTATTGGACACATCTCACATTTTTTCCTATGAGCCATTAAATATTTAAGCACCATAAAATTCAAGCATTTCACATGGATGTGGCAGCCAGCCTTGGCGGTTTAAAATGCATTATGCAGAGTCTCTGGCAGATAATAACAGTGACAATTGCAGAGTACTGATTTTTAATGTCAATTGTTTTGTCCCCTGCAGAACTTCCTGATAATGTCCCTGTAGGAAATTGTGATTTTGTGTGTGCATGGAGCGGGGGGGGGGCAGGTTACAGTAACTTTGAGAATTGAAATAAAATAACATTCCCAAAGACACGAAGAATTGCCAGGTATAATAATTCTAATCAGTAATTTATATGCCCTGTAAGAATCATAATATAATTCTACTACAGAGAAAAACCCAAGAAATGTTTTTTCATATTAAATTGTTTTAAATAGAAGATGTGACCAGAATAAATGCGCAATGATTGTTATGTGCTAGACGTATAATCTAACTTAATTTTCGATGTAAGAGTAGGTGTTATGTCCCATTTTATAAATGAGGAAAATGGGGTTCAGAGAGTAGGTGTAACTCACCCCGGGTGACACAGCGGGGAAGTGACAGAGCCAGCTTCAAACCAACTCCAAAGTCCACATTTTCCCACTATTCCTGCAGTCGTACAAAATAAAAGTAAAAATTATCAAATTCGTTTGGCGAGCTGATCGAAACAAATCTAATGCAATTTCCTGGAATGCACAGAATGGTTTGCTTTATTATAATCTACAAGAGGCTCAAAATAAAATCTGATACAATCCAGTTTTAGTGGACCATTCCGTTGACTCTTTTTCTAAGCACAGAAAACACGTATACAAGCTTCGTCGATGTGGTCTTGTACTAGGAAGCTCTCACGTGATGAGGGAGGGAGTACAGGTTAGGGCATGAGTTTAGTCTTGTCACATTTCAGTGAAGAGCCTTCTCTCAGCCAAATCTCAAGGATCTTATCCTTTCTGAAATTTCAGTTTTGGAAAAGTAAGCTGTATTTCAGGAGGGGGTAAGGGTTACCGCTTATCAGTTGGCTTTCTGTCAGTAACTGTTAAGAGGAGACGGTGGGTGTGCAGATCTGTGGGCGCATTCACAAATTTTGAAGTAAGAAATGGTTTATACTTGTTACCATTTTGTCCACAAGAGCCCTACGCGCACCTAACGCCTAATGGTACTTATTGAACTGTCACTGAAAGCAGAATTATCAGTAATGCACTCAGCTCTGTGTGGACACTGGGTGTACAGTTGAGTGAAGCTTGGCCCTGCCCTCCAGGGGCCTGCACTGGACCAGAGAGCATGGAGGAAGTGTGAGCAGACCTTACCGGGGCGAAGAGGGGGCATGGGAGAGTGGCCAGGCCCATCTGTTGCCCTGGGAGCAGGGGAAGGGAGTCCAAGTCTCCCTGGGGAAATTCGCACCCACCTCTCCCCTCCAGCTCATTCCCTCTGTCAAGAAGCTGTTGCATTCCAGGGGACTTCCCTGAGCGGGGACGTCACTGGGAGAAAGAGCAGGAGCCGGGTCACAGAGCTGGGAACAGGCCTCTGGGGTGTGTGCACAGGAGAGCTGCGGGCAGCCTGTCACCCCACCGGAAGTCACTTGGACCTCACAGGCACAGAAGACATTGAACGATTTTTTAAGCCCAAGAAAAACAAGAACAAGTTTGCATCTTGGAGGAACGACTGGGATTTGAAAAGTGGAGGTGTCAGCTGGGAGCTGTTTACCATCAAAAGTATGGGGGAAGGACAAAGGCTGCATTAAGGCACTGAGACCAGAGGGGAAGGTGGCAATCCACAGGAAGTGGTCTCTGAGTTTCGGCCTGGGAAATATGAGAGGACAAGGAATGAGCCCCCCACCACTGGCAGCACAGAGACCTGGGCACCTGGACACCTGTATGGATGGGGCTCCACTCACTGAGAACAAGAACCCAGGAGGAAACATCCCGTCCTCCCCCGCGTGACCCAGAGCAATGCCCACTGGACAGTGTATATGCTTTCTAACCAAGGGGCTTCCTGGGAAGGAAATTTTGATAAGGATCATCACCAGTCATGGATTAGCCACCACTAAGCTTTGTTCATCCTTCACAGAGAAAGAACATTTCAAAGTACCAGGTGAAGAAAGCAGAGTCTTCTAATCTGGGGAGTTATCTGTTCCACAGTTTTGCCCTTTAGACCAGTTACAATAATTTTCCAAAATTGGAAGGCAACAATTGTGCAGCATTTAGAGAGGGGTTCTTGCAATATCAGTATTTTGGACAGTCTCAAACACAATCCCAGGCTCACCGTGAGTAAATTGTCCACTTAGTTCAGCCTGTGTTTTAAGATGTATCTGGCAAGCTTACTAAGATAATATTCTAATGTGCATAAAATACTTCAGCAAGCAAGGTACGTCTCTAACGTTCTATTTCTCACCCTTATCTCTTCCCAGAAAATGTTCTCAGACCAAATTCATGAATGAACAAGATGAAATTTTAGAAGGCTTGACATTTGGTAACACATAACAAAACTTGGGAAACAGAAAAGTGTAATAATTATAAACGAGGTTGAAATTGGCTTAATTTCAGGTGCTCAAAAATACGTAACATGCCATAGCACGATTAAAAACAATCAATAAATGGGTCAAATGAACTAGGAAATACTCTGTTTTCATCTTAAAATGTACATTTTTTTTCTTTTTACTGGAAAGTATTAAAATAAATTGCCATCCCGGGAGTAGCCCATAACAAGGCTCATTTGAAATATGTCCTACATATAAGATCTCATTGCTAATCAATGTTTGGCAAGGAAAACATCTTACAAACAAAATTTTATTACGTTTTTCTTCTCTCAATTATTTTTAAGCGCATTGAAACTAAGCACGAAAATGAGTGTCACTTGCTCATGAGAAATTTCTTTAGTTTTTTTCTAAAATGACGTGTTTTTAAATAAGGAAGGCAGGTTTCCTCCGATTTATTTCCAACAAGGTTTCTGACTTTTAGGATTAGACCACTGAATCCCTATCAGAATAGGAAATGTATCTTTTGCTATTCAGAAAACTACTCATTCTAAATTGACATATCTTCTAAACTTTTATAGAAAATATTAATACCAAATGTCAAACTGCTGCCTTGGTAGGATACTGACAAAAAATAGAGGAATTTTTTAAAATTGGAAAAACAAGATGCTTCTGTAAAAACCAGTAACAGGCACATAAAATTCAAATTGTAGGTTGTTTTTATTTTTTATTTTTTTCTAAAATAGCACCATATCTTCCTGGCGGGGTGACCATGACTTAAATGAATCTTCTTACCTAAGTTTAATTAAGCCGGCCCTTAATTTTCTCCCAAGTGCATAATGATAGCTCTGTCACTTCCCGGTATGAAATGCCATTATGTTTTGGAGGAAAAGCGTCCGTGGCAGGCTTCGTTGGAGGCAGCTCTGCAGGCGCTCCTGGGGAGGGGAGCAGGATGCTTTGTGTGAGCTGGTGCGTCTGAGTGAGCCCCATGTGGCTTCAGTCCCATTAGCGCGCGCACACCGAAGACTAGCTGGACCCCGACTGGGCAAATGCCGTCTGTTTGGAAGTTCACTGCAATGGGGAGTCCATTTTTGTGAATCACTGCCTTAATATTCATTAATAGCTCTAAGGCTCTTAATCCCTTATTGAATATAATTTTTTCCATAAATGCTACTTTTCAAAAAGGGTTGCCAAAGTAGGCATTTCCATTCTCTGAAAAATGCAGAAGAGAACACGTTTTATGTTCCTCTGTGATGTATTTATGCTAATGTAGCATCTCCGGAATCCAGCCACTGGGGTCCTTCCTGGCATAATGATTCATTCTGCTTTGAAATGAACTGTTAACACTGGCTGTGTGGGTTTTTTCTTTCTTCTTTCTTTCTTTCTTTCTTTCTTTCTTTCTTTCTTCTTCTTCTTTTTTTTTTTTTACATCTTCTTGGGTCACGGTTTCACAATTATTTAAAGTGCATGGGGAAACAGATTACAGAAGAAATCATTTTGAGATGTTGGAAATCTCTACTTTCTAGTTTCATTTGTCGGCCTATTTTTTTTTTCCTATAAAAATCCATCCGGAAGCCCACTGTATTACAGAGTAATTGACTTCAATTGTTTGAGGTGCTATTAACCAATGAGTGAAGTTCTCAGTAATGTAATTTGTAATCTGGCCTTTATCATCTCTTTGCCTTCCTGTGAATTAGCATCATTTTAAATAAAGCTGGCTCTTCCATCATCCTCAAAAACATAAGGATATCTGGGTTTCATCAAGATTGGTAGGTCCAAACAAATCCATACGAGGAGCATTTGCTTAATCTGCCCCGAACAGAGGAAGGGATGAGAGGTCAGTGGGAAAAACCACATACACGGAAGGGGCAGCTGAACCCGGAGTCTGAAATGAGCACCATTAATCTCTTAGCGCAGCCTGGGCCCCCCGGGGGCCCCGAGGAAGTTTCTCCTGGCCACATGTTGGCCAGCTGTGGGTTCTCTAGCTGTGCTTCATGCACACCTGGCACCTGCTGATCCTCTGGCGCTGGGCCTGGCTCTCTTTTAAGGTGTCTGGCGAGGGCGCCGAGGAAAACTGCAAGTCAGGTCTCACTGTCGTCAGCCAGAAGCTATACTCGTTTGCAAAAAAGTGGCAAGTTCCCTGCCTGCCTTGGCATTCGAGGAACGGTGCGGCTCGGAAATCTTCCAGACAGCTGCCAGGGGACATGAGGGCCTGCCCTCCTCCCTGGTCCCCAGCCCCTGTGTGCTGCCAGGACAAGACAGAGTTAGGGCTCAGACACGGGCAGACGACCCCAGGCCCAGTCCGTGCCACGTGGAGGGCTCCCAGGAATAGCTGACTAGGATCCCCCGAGGAAAGGAGTGGGGGACACAAAATGAAACCACTTTCTCTGGGGGGACTGCGACAAATCCAAAGTCTACACCCTCGCAGAATCATAAAAACAAACAAACAAACAAACCCGGATCGGCAGTAAGAAGGAACGGCCCCGCATCTGGACAGGCTAGGGTTTGGGGTGGGCTTACGACCCCACGTCCTAGTGCCGTCTGTCCCTCCGCAGAGCTCCTGGAGTCCCCGGGGGGCACGGGGGGCGTGCAGGGGCTCACCATCAGGAACGAGTACCCGATCCACAGGCTCCTCCAGGTCCGCGGGCACGGGGGGATGGACTGGTCCTGGCTGTGCAGAGCCACCACGGGCGCCGGGGCCTCGCACACCGCACAGCGGCTGATGTAGGGGCGGATCTCCTCCTCCGACAGCGGCGTCCCGGGCAGCGGCGCGGCGCTCGCCAGCCAGTAGGACCGGTCGTTCCTCTGGCCGTAGTGGCACACTTGGTGGATGTTGCAGTAGGCGAAGGGCAGCGTGCTAAACATGGGGAGGCAAGACCCTGCCAGCCCTTGGGAGGGAACACGAGGCAAGGTGGTGGGCGAGGCGCCAGGCCGGCGGTGCGCAGGGACCTTGCCCGCGCGCGCCCTCCGCAGCCACGCGTTCCGCCGCCCAGATGCACCTGCCAAAGCCCGCTTCTGTGGCAGGCGGGGAGCGCAGGGTACGCGCCGACCGTTCTGCCATCTCCCTGGCCCCGGGGCCAGCCCTCATCCACTCATTCACTCCTCATTCCCTCGGGAACCGAACCGAGCAATGGGCCAGCCGCTGGAGGGGTGCGGTTAGTCCAGCTCTGTCTCCACAAAGCTCACGCCCTGGCTCGGCTGGGGAGACGGCTGGGCATTGGGGCCGTCAACACACAGCATGGCCAGCCCTAGGAGTGAGAAGGCAGGCGCACGGGGACTTCGGAGAGGATACCCGGAAGAATGAATCTATGCTAGGACCTGAAATACGACCGGGATTTGGCCAGGTTTGAAGATGGTGACTCTTCAGAGGAGACAGAGCAGGAGAGAGGGCCAGAGGTGAGGGAGTGTGGAGCTCAAAGAAATCAAAGGAATTCCGTGGGGCGAGGGGTGGGGGGACGTGTGTGTGTCTGTGTGTCTGTGTCTCAGGGGGTCCAGAGAGAAGTCAGACCAGAGGCTGCGGGTTTTGTCTGTCTTGTAAGGAGCTTAGATTTTACCCCAGGGCTCTGCAGAGCTTTGTGAGGAGGCTCTGGCTAGACCGGGGTGGGAGGAGACGGATGGAACAGAGGCCAGGCAAGGGGGTCGCGAGGAGGCGAGAAGTCCAAGAGCCAAAATACTAAACATTACTTCTTCCTTCCCCCTGACCCCAGGCCCTCTACTGGGAAGGTCCACGGCTAAGCCCAACGGGGAACGACCTGTAAGCAACTGCCACAGCTAGGCCTGCGCTCCTGCCCACCCCTGCTAACAGCAGGGGTCATAGCCCAGTGAGGGCAGTGAAGAGGCTCCCCCTCCATCAGCGCCCCCTGCTGTCATGTCCCTCCTGCGCCCACTACCCAACCATCACCATCTGGGCGAGACGGCGTTTGCCAGCACCTGGGTAAACTGACTCGAAATCAGTCCTTGCAGCTTACAAATCTACTAATGAAAATGGACAAGTGGGGCGCCTGAGTGGCTCGGTCAGTTAAGCGTCTGACTTGGTTTCGGCTCAGGTCCTGGTCTCAGGGTCCTGGGATCAACCCATGTCAGGCTCCTGGCTCCGCGGGGAGTCAGCTTGAGTTTCTCTCCCTCTGCCCCTCGCCTGACTCCCATGTGTGCCTGTGCATACTCTCTCAAATAAATAAGAAAACAGACAAGCAGCACCAAGGGATGACTCCCAGAATCAAGTTCTATAATTTAAAAAACCAGCTGGAGTGGGGCAGGGAGCTAGTACCAGCTAACTGCACATCATCTAACCGCCCCCGGCCGCTGTGGATGCGCCATTTGACATGTAAACACAGGAACTGACCATGGCCTGATTAAATAATGTACTTTGGGAGGTAAAAACTACACTTTATATAAGAGTTAAATTTAACCTGCTGAGGAAGGATCATTTTTTAAAAATGAGTCAGTAGCTGGATGATAACTACTGTAGCCAGATTGAGCTGCTCTGGTGCCCCACAGGATCGCTGCTTTCATAGAATTCACTGGCAATTAGCATGATTGTTTCAAAAGAAAAAACTCCACGGGAGAGGAGTGATCCCTGAAGATGTTGATGAGTCTGTAAAATTAACCCAAAAGCTGTCCTCCTAAGTGATGGACGTGGATGACCACGTGCTCCACACATACCAAGGTCTTGATTGTGCGCCTTCTCCTGTCCTTCCAGGTATAAGAGGCTGTAGCCCGTCCAGAGCCTGGGCATGCCCGCGGGGCAGGCGGGTTCGCCATCCGTCTGACTGTGGAGAACCAGGAGGAAGCCACTGAGGTATCCAGGCCCAAACCCTTTGGGCCCAGGGTCCCCAATGGGCCCAGGAGGGCCTGGAGGAATAAAGAAAAAAAAATGGAGGCAGGTTAAGGGGGTTGCTTTAACAAGCACTTCTGAGCACCTCCGTTCTGAGCACTCAGGGAGCAGAGAGGAGCATGACAGGGCCGGTCTCAGGAATGGCCCCTGACAGGACTGCAATATATACAAACAACTCACTCAGCAAGTATTTATTCCAAGCATCTCCCAGGTGGTCAGATTAATTTAGCATAAAAACAGATGCGGGAGGGGAGGTGAAGGGGGGATGGGTTAAATGGCTGATGGGGATTAAGGAGGGCACTTGTTGGGAAGAGCCCTGGGTGTTACACGTAAGTGATGGATCACTAACTTCTACTCCTGAAACTAATGTTACACTGTTGTTAACCAGCTGGGATTTAAATAAGAACTTGAAACTACAAAAAACAAAACAAAAAGAAAACAGTGAACAGACAAAACTCCCGGCCCTCCTAGAGCTTACATTCTACTTGAACAAGAGAAATGACAAACCATAAAATGTGTTAGGAAGTGATAAATGCTGAGCAGAAAAAGATGGGGTGGTGTCACCCCTGCCGTGTGACCTCCCAGATATGTGTGACCTTCTCAGACTGGACTGGGAGCCTGGTGATTGTCAAAGCGGGTCTTCCTTATCCCTCCCAGACCTCTCCCACAGTTCTGGCATATCCAGGGGATTGGGACCCACATGCACCACTTGGACCTTCTTTTAGGAGGCAGGGAGGAGGAAGGAAGCCCTAGTTCCGGCATTCTTGCCGGCAGGTGGGAATTGAGTAGCTCTGCACGATGCAAGCAGGGTCTGTCTCCTGTGGCATGTCTAAGGGGCTGGCCCACTGAAGGAAGCCAATGGCTACTTCTAATTGCCAAGAGCCAAGGGGAAACCAAAAGTTGTTTATTTTTTTTAAAACTCATTTCTGGAAGATTGGCAGGCTCTCCCCATCTATACTGTAAACCAGAGGTTACAACGTGGTAGCTTGTACGCTGGATCTGGCCTGATCCCCTGTTCCGTTTGACCAGTCCAGACTGCACGGCGGGGGTCTTGGACTTGGAAAGCAGAGCGTAGGCAGCATGGAACTCTCCCCTCTACACACAGCAATTGGCTGAGGCTGAGCTGTAGGCTCCGTTTTGTTACAAACATCACCGGCCCCCTTCACTCCTCATTAACAACCTGGGAGATCCTCCGCGAAGATGAGACTGTACCTGGGAGTCTTGGGGTCCCCAGCATCCAGAAATGTTACCTGGCGCGTTATATTTCAAATTACTATTCTGTCATGTCTTACCTCTCTCCTCACGCAATGCCTACTCCCCAATTTTTTTCTTAAGAAGGAGCCTTGTATTCTATATAAATGCATCCACAGTTGTGCAATAAGATGAAGGGAACTCAGAAAACTGAGGCCAAGTGATTCGGCCAGTCGTGGCGGGTGAGAACGCCCCTGCCACCCTCATCTTCCTCACGGCCTCTCAGTAGCGATCACACACAATGCCAGGCTTGCCTTGGGAAAGGCTGAGTCTTTTATGGTAATGCATAGTGGTGTGGGGAAATACTAAACGGGGGAAGAAGGCCTGGACTCATCTTTTTGGTGGTTGAGGATCAGTCAGAACGTGGGGGATTCATCCTGTTCCACTCTTGCTGCTTCTGCCTCCCTAATACCTGGTGAGTCCACATCTAAGGCAAATGCTTTTAATAGGATCAGTTTGGAAAGCCGCTTGAGAGGCCAGGGATCTCATACACAGTTCCCAGATCTATGGTGTCAATGAAAAGAAGAGAAGCTGAAAATTTTTACCTGGTACTCCAGGGCAGCCGGCTTCTCCCGCGTCCCCTTTGCTTCCAGGAGGCCCAGGGGACCCTGGGAGTCCATCCTCACCCCTCCTGCCATCCGGCCCAGACTCTCCTTTGCACCCTGCATGAGAGTTCACGACGGCATTGGTGAGAACAGCAGGACACGGGCTAGCCCTTCCGGCCCGGGGCTCGCCCTTCGGACTACACTGCATTCGCTCACGTCGTCTTCCCAGATACATGGAGTTGGGATTGTACTATGTCGGCTTGGTGGTGGGGTCATTAGGCTCTGAGAGATCAAGCCATTTGCTTAAGTAATAAGCCAGTCATGGACAGAGCCAGGGTTTGGAGCCAGACCAGGGAGATGTTGGAAGAGAGGTCTTCACGTTTCTTCATATTCTTGTATGTTTAATTTTTTTTATAGCGAACATATCTGATGTCTATAATTCAATATTAGCCTTATTAATGATTTTTTTAAGAAAGCTGAGTGGAGGAATAAGTAAAACTTAATAGGATTCATTGGGAGTCAAGTTACATTTGGAGCAAGGTAAGAGCAGCAGTTTTTTAAAATAATAATTGAGGGTTCACAAGGTGGGAGGTACCAGCCTTTACGTGGATTAGCCAATTTGGTCTTCTCAACAGCCACATGACCAGGCGCTCTCGTATGTCAGCCTGCCAGTGGGGAGACTGAGGGTCAGGAAGGTGACAGAGCTGGTCCTGCGTGTTGAGGAACCGCGCCCAGGCAGGCTTCATGACAAGCTGCGGAGCTCAGGTGCGCCCCCTGGAGGACGTAAACTGGGGGCCTGGCAGCAGTCACAGGGATACTCGAGGGGTTCAATGTTTGGTTCCTTATGTCCGAGGCATCAAATCATTAGCCACAATCTCCTCTCATGAGTAGCAGACAGGGTCCTTGACTGTGGAGGAGTGTTTTGCCATTAGCCTGAATTCCCTGCATTACTAGCCCCCCAGGGGTTCTGGTTTCTACCTGTTCTTCGCTCTCCCTTTCCCGCTCTCTCTGTTCTATCTTTCTCTCTGCCACGAATTAGCCTAAAACGAACCATGAAGTCAGAGAGGGCTCACGTTTTCACTCTTGGACTTGTTCTTCAAGGGAGTGGGGAGCTACCTGAGGGTTGAGAGCGGGGGACTGGATGCTCGGGTGATCAGCTGGATGTCCCACTCGGTTTCCTGTCTCCCACAGAACCCCCTCTTACAGCCATTTGAAATGCATGCCCCTCCAAACCTCAGTGCTTTTGAAATCCTGTTCTAATATTTCCTGCTTGAGAGTGTCCCATGCAAACCTCCTCTGTCCCCACCACCAGCCAGTCCGTCCCCTCCACATCCCATGCTGGTATCCCCAGTATGCCTGGCTTTTGGGGTACTGTCATTTCTCTTTCCGCTTCCTTGGGTTTTAAACAAATTCTCTTGGACTGTCATGCAGTTCCTGGACTGCATTCTGTCCATGATCATCATTCAGGAGGTGAGAAAGGAAACCTCTCCCTCTCCCCATCTGGGTGAGAGATGCCCTCTCCTTTCCAGTAACTGGGCAGAAACCTCTTTCCGGGTGGGGCTGCTGTGCGCTGGCTGGCATATTCCGTGCTACCAGCTTCAAAGGGAACGTCAGTTACTTCGGAAGGAACGCAGGGCCCTGATGGTGAGCTCAGAGCATTCTTTTATCTCTCCCACCCCACGAGATGATTGCAACATGGGGCCACTGTGCTATTCTGGAAAGGGCTGCCCAAGTGTTGACAAGCCAACAAATGGTCTGATCATTGAAAAGGCCACAGGCATCTTCCTGAAATATCAACGTGCGGCAGGATCACTGTCGATCTGGAGAAAGAGCTCCCCCACAAGATGTTGCGATATAGGCTTTGTTCCCTTTGGAGAAATTGTCAGGCAATTTCCAGAGATAGGAAGGAAGGCCTTTTTAACCGAGTTGTGTGCCTACGTCTTTCCCTATGTGGACTTGTTCTCCACTTGGAACTTGTTTCAAGGACTAGAGCTACATCTAAAAGCCCTCCAGTGTTTGATGGATTACCTCCTCGGAGAGCGTCACATGTTGACTTGAAGATTAAACACACTCTAACAGGATGTGGGGATGTCCATTAGGCGGTAACAGTTCAAACCGATATGGAAACCACCTTTGTGTTCATCCCAGGAAGCCCCAGCCTTTGAGGGCCCCCCGGGGAAGGAAAAGTTATAGATCAAAGAGACGTGCGAGCAGAAAAACTGGAGGCCTTCCATGGTGGAGGACTCTTAACAGAAACAAATTATATTTAGTGTGGCTGTTACCCGCTCACACTGGGCAGCAAAGAGCCAGAACTTTGTTTTTTTCTGTATAGATCTCGGCTACAGCACCAGGTTACAAAATCAGCTTCGCAATGAAAGAGGTTCGGAAGGGAAAACAGGAAGAAGCCAACAACGTCATTTGAAGTGGAGGTGGTCCTTCCCAGTGGCAGCTGATCCTTCGCAACCGACCTCGGGGGCAGCACATACGACCCCCGACACCGAGCTGAAAGAATCACCTTCAGGAGAGGACAGATGACGAGCCACATGCCCTGAAGATGACCCAAGTCAGCCAGGGTTCAGCCGCTTTGGACCCTCAGGATAGACTTACTGCTTTTCAGCAACTGGACAGTGTGGCCAATGTATCCAGGGTGGCCAGCAGAAACAGGCAGGGGAAGGGGGCCAAGGAATATACTGCAGGCAAAGAGGGTCCTTTACAGCAAGAGCTGGAGGCCCATGTCAGAGAAGAGGGAGCCAAAAGGGAACACTGGCATGGGAGTGGGTGCTTGGGGGGAGGGCAGAAAGGAGCTCCAGGGAAGCTGAGCCATGGAGCAGCGCAGCACCGCTGTGAGACCAATGGGTGGCACCTCACGGGAAGGGCTGTGCAATTGTCTTTTTTTTTTTAACATAACTGTCACATTTTGTGGCGCAGCGGTGACCTCAGGTGCCCCCACTGCAGCAGGCAGGGTCAGTGACATCAGTAAGGAGAGGGCACAGGAAGCCAGAGAAGACCTTCTGAGGCCACCTGCAACCAGATAAGCTCATCCGACCCCAAGTTGGGCAGAACGAGAGATGACTCACAGGTGATCAGTCGCAGCTGGGACCATGTAGCGTCGCCTGTCAGCGCTCTTTCAGAAACCCACAGTCTATGGACAGAGAATCCTGAATGTGCCCAAGATAACTATTTGCCCTTTTGTTTTTTTCTTCTCAGTCACTTCCTTTGGTTCTTTTCCAAAGTCACCGCAATGGGTGAGCCCAACCGCCCAACTGGTCTCAACTGGTATTGGGGGCAGCAGCGGGTCATCTGGGGAGCTTTTCCAAAACACTGATCCTCGGGGTCTGCCTCCTTCTGCATCCCATTGGTCTGGGAGGAGGCATCGCTCTCGTTTCCAGCCCCTGCATAGCGAGGACTGAGTCCCTAGGGATGGCGTCGCTCTTAGCTGACTCTTTTAAGGACAGCACTCATATAATATGGTTAGGGTTTCTCAAACTTGAATATACATATAAATATTCTGGGATCTTGTTAAAATGCAGATTTTAACTTGGTAGGTCTGTGCCTGAGTGGCTACTGGTCCTTGGACCACACTTTGAGTAGCAAGGATGCAGCTGACCTACCCGACCTGTGCCCCCGCCATCTCCCTGTTGGAAAGTCTGGTTCCTCAAAGCCCCGTCTCTCCTTATAGGCTCTGTTCAAAGGCCAGCTCTTGCCTCGGTCTCAGCAGTCCTGCAGCCCTCCACACTAAAGTTCACCTCTCCGGTCCCATTGTCCTCAGGCCTTTGCCAGAAACTCCTCGAAAACACAGACTATGAACTCCCATTATTTAGAGTTACTTATGTTCGGCTAGCTATTTCTGCCATGAGGTTGTGAGGCACTGGAGGGGGAAAAACACATCTTACTCATGTTTGTATTGCCCACAACACCTAGTACCATACTTTCTAAAGAGCACAGAGGATCTGGAAGTATTTACTGAAATAAATTTGCAGAACCCCAGTACTGGCCATATCGTCTACTTGAAAGTAGATTTTTTTAAAGGGGTGTGTATATATGTGTGTGTGTGGGGGGGTCCCAGCCCTCAGTTGCAACTGTATACATAACAAGGGGGTTGGTTTGAAAAGTAGGTTGAGTGGCTTCCTTTCCAACTGGGGCCCCGGCAGAATGGCTCCCGCGAAGAAGGGTGGCGAGAAGAAGAAGGGCCGTTCTGCCATCAACAAGGCAGTGACCAGAGAATACACCATCAACATTCACAAGCACATCCATGGAGTGGGTTTCAGGAAGCGTGCCCCTCGGGCACTCAAAGAGATCCAGAAATTTGTCATGAAGGAGATGGGAGCTCCAGATGAGCGCATTGACACCAGGCTCAACAAAGCTGTCTGGGCCAAAGGAATAAGGAATGTTCCATACCGTATCCCTATGTGGTTGTCCAGAAAACATAACGAGGAGGAAGATTCACCAAACAAGCTCTACACACTGGTTACCTATGTACCTGTCTTCACTTTCAAAAATCTACAGACAGTTAATGTGGATGAGAACTAATCGCTGATTGTCAAATAAAGGTATAAAACCACAAAAAAAAAAAAAAAGTAGGTTGAGTGATGAGTGATTCTGACGGACGCAGAGCTTGATCCATGCAGTGAGTGACAAAGACCTATGCTCACTTCCCAGTGTCCCCCACGCTGTTAATGGAAGTTGCTCCAAGTGACACCCAATTAACTTAGTGCATAAACACAGATGCAGTGCAGCAAACACAAACAAACCAAAACCACTACCACTATGAGGGAGGCTCCAGGTTCTGGACGCTACCCAACAACTTCTCAGACGCCAACAGAGGGGATATCTTTTGGGCCCTTAGCTATTTGGCTTTGGATAACACACACACACACACACACACACACACACACACACACAAACAGGTGATGCAAAACTCAAGTTCTATTTCCAATTCCTTTGTCCCCGAACCAGAAAGAGCCAAGGCCACACCTGGGCAGTGGGAAGCCAGGAGAGAGAATGGCCTCCTGCCTCCTCGGGTAATTTGCACACAGGCTATCTAGAATCCCGGGCACTGCCAATTGGTCTCAAGAGATCAGTGACCTTGAGCTGCCAGCCTGGACTCCCTAATTTCTTTGTCAGTGACCAGTGTGATGGGGATCTGTGAAGAGAAAATAAAGCATCTGGAAGATAGTTTTTAAAGGAATGGTTTGGTCGGAGTGCTTAAATAAGGATCCTGCTACCCTGACAATGAGCAATGAGCAAATCAATTAAATGAACACTCCGGTCATGACCATAATTTAGAACGACCCTTCCCCTTTCTCTGTCCTTCCTCCAAGCGAGACACTTCCTTCCCCCCTTCTCCTAGGCTGTTTCTGCTCCACTGAGTCTCAATTCAAGTGTTTGTAATTCAAAATCAAGTCAACAGCTATTAATGACTATTAATAAAGCATCTACTCTGTCGTACAAGAGGCTTCAAAACCTTATGCCCCAAAGCTGCCCACGTAGGAGAGATTCAAGCAGGAGTTCAACATAAAAATAGTAGGCTTGTGCCGATCCAGTGAGGACATGAGCAAACCTTGGAAGAAATGTAGAAAAATGTGTAAGAGGAAGGAGATTACATTGCTTCCTACTCACGAGGTGTTTAGGCTCCATGCTAAAAACTACATAGCAAGACACCTAGATTTTCCTTCCAACAGCATCTGATGCAGATAAATGAACAACCAGTGTGAGCCTCATACCTGGTCCTGGAGGCCCTCTTGCTCCAGGGACCCCCATGGCTCCTTCTGGTCCTCTTGGGCCTGGTACCCCGGGAAGTCCAGGGATTCGGGGGCAGGACTCCACATCGGCAGGTGGCCCTGGTTCACCTGAAATTGCAATCACCACTTGTGTGACAGATTCCAACCTTACAAACAAGCTCCTTCTGTCCCCTCCAGAGTGTTCAATAGCCCAAAATAAGCTCCATGAAAACGGGACTTCTGTTCACTGGGGGGCGCGTGAGAAACTTCCAGAAAGCACTGTGTTAAATACACGACTGAGTGAGTGAGTGAGTGAGTGAGTGAATGGGATCTCAGAGGAAGCCAAACAAGAACAGAATAGTGAAGGCTGGTTGGGGCAGCAATAGTTTGGTGACCTTCACTGGATTTCCGATCTTTGGGCGCCGATCACAGGTAGCAGTGGGAGAGCTCCCCGGATGACTCCAGTGTCAGCCAGGGCTCCCTCACTGTTCAGCGCTAAGAAGCTCTAGTTCTGACTTTAGCGCATCACAATCATCTGGCCGGCTGGTCAGAGCCCAGAGTTTCTGAGCACATAGGTCTGGGCTAGTGTAACATGTTCCCGGGTGAGGCTAACGGTGCTGATCTGCAGATCTTATTGGAGAATCACTGCTCTAAAGATTTGCGTGTTTTTCCTTCTTGGTTATGTTCACATCTTTAAGATATTTTTTCCTAAAGCTTCATTCAGTCACCCTGCAAATACTCCACAAGGGAAAAGAAATCATAATAACACTAACCAATAATGATAACAGCTAACACTTCTTGAATGCCTTATCATGTGCGAGGTCCCGTGCTAAGTGCTTTACAATGAAAGGCTCCCAACAAGCCTGTGTGTGTATGCGCCGCTATTATTAGAGTATTACAGGTAAGAAAACCCAGGCTCAGTTAAATAAGTGACATATCTAAGGTCACACAGCTAACACATGGCAGAGTCTAGATTAAATCAAAGATGGCCTGGGTCTAAACCTGTAGCCGTAACCAGGACACCATAAGGCCTACAGAACTCTTCACATCTGCATGATGAATTCCAAGAAATACAACACATTTTAAAAACACACTGCTTATCAGTTATGGTTTTGTTAAAATTCATGCAAATGTGCAAAATAAGTGTAAGAACAGCAGTGATTCGGCAGCAAGAAAACTGTAGAAAATCTGGCCATAGTGACAACACAGGTGACCCAGTAGTTAGTATGTCTGTGCAAAACAGACTCGAACCCAGGGCACCCATGTGGCTCAGTTGGTTGAGCGTCCGGCTCTTGATTTCAGCTCAGGTCATGATTTCAGGGTCCTGAGATCGAGTGCCGCATCTGGCTCCGTGCTCAGTGCGGAGCCTGCCTGAGGATTCTCTCTCTCTCTCTCCCTCTCCTTCTGCCCCTCCTCCAGCTCATGCTCTCTCTCTTGCTCTCAAATAAATAAATAAATCTTTAAAAAAAAAACAGACTTGAACCCTTGTCATCTGTTTGGAATTTAATCTCTTATAAAATATTGTATAAAACCACATGTGTATTTTTACAGTACACACAGTTTAACGTAAAATGTGGCTTTTCCACTCTCGGTGACTTGAGGGAGATGCATATGAATATTTCCTATTTTCCCTGAATCACCTTGTGGATTCTGGTGGAGTGAAGGAAGCAGGTAAGGGAACGGGGGGTGGGGGGGTGGGGGGAGGGTAGGCATTTGGCTGGTGCTTCATAGTTAGGATTCTAATGTTATCTTCAAATGAGTTTATACATGCAAACACAGAGAGACACTAAAAGGACGGAAGTGGAAACATTAAATATGAAACTGTAATTTTTATTTTTATTTTTTAAAAGATTTTATTTATTTATTTGGCAGAGAGAGAGCGTACGCACGAGCAGGGGGAGTGGCAGGCAGAGGGAGAAGCAGGCTCCCCACCCAGCAAAGAGCCTGATGCGGGACTCCATCCCAGGACCCCAGGATCATGACCTGAGCCGAAGGCAGACACTTACCCAACTGAGCCACCCAGGCATCCTGCAACTGTAATTTTTAAATAGAAACATTTAAAAGAGTAGGATTCTTTTTAAATTCTGATTTTGCTTTTCTTTACTTTTTAATAAACCAGAAGCTGAATGAAAGGGGCCAAAGTGTCTCTTGTGTAAGGACCCTGCATTCAGGGCAAATTTTCATTAGGGTTAATAAAAGAGATGCCTGGAAAGAACAAAAATGTGTACACTCACTGAGTTTCTTTTTTTCTTTTAAGAAACTCTTTTTAGTCTCTTTGGAAACCCCAGACATGAAATAATATGTTGTTTCTGCATTGTGGTGAACACTTAGTTGAAAAGAATAACAGCATTTTCCTTGTAACACGCAAAGAAATTTGTTCCTTGGAAATGGACTTCGATGTTATGGGAAAACCTTGTCACAGCCCCTTACTGGGTGTGAAGGACCCATCTTTTCAGGTTGTTGATACTACTTATCTTAGGGATGTTCTATGTATTTATATTGTAGAATTTATAAAAGAAACTTATATGGGTATGTGCTGGAGCATTTGACAGAGAAAGCACTCACACTCTGCACCTGAATTGAAATTATGTAAGCCGAGCGTCTACTCTGCCCTGACAACCTATAATGAGACTCAGCTTTAGAATGCTCTAATATGTGGTTACCATATCTGTAATGAGGAAGCGAGGGCACTGACGCCTCATATAATTACAGCATCCCATCTATGAAAATGTAACGAAATGTAACTCACAAGTACAGTGAAAAAGGCCAGTATAGAAATAAGTAGAAGCCAGATGTAGAGGAAATTACTGATTTTGTAACAGCACTTACCTCTGGGACCTGGAGCGATCCAAAGTCAAAAATTGAAGCCACGCAACGATTTTCATATGGTGGAAAGAGATTTTGAATTTGTCATTTAGGACAAAAGTGACATGGGTTATTTGAGAATATACATAATAACCTGAGGATGGCATCAATGATGAGCAAAATGACAGCATCTTATTTACATAACTAAGTCCACATCAATGTTACTGACAAGAACAGCTCTGATTTAATAATAGAGCTTTCACATCTAGAAAAATGTGAAATGAAGCTCTCTTGTACAATATAAAATGAATTGATTTCTTATAGCAAATATACCCTAATTTTACATATATAGAAATTCCGTTCTATAGGCAGGCTTCTGAAAATTTTGTATTATTTAGCCAAGGTTTATAGGTTATGCACAGAAAGGAAATATGAGATGAATCCAAGTATAAGCTATTTGTCATGTTGTTCTGTGATCCATCGTAAAGCGGTGCAATTTATTTATTCTTTGGACTAAAGCACTAATTTAGGAGATTGCAAAATATTCCGAACTGACATCACATTACCGTAATATTGGTTTAGGATCTCAAAAGATATTATTTCTGCCAATCTCAAATACGCATGTCTGTTTGCCCTCCCAAATTTTCCTTGGCCTATTTTGATCCTATGTTGAAAACATGCTGTCGACTGAGCTTAAATTGAATAGCCTTTTTGTCTTTGTAGGAACTAATGTGTTTTACAAAAAAAGTTAAATAAAACATCTAGGAAAATCAGTGGGAATTCAGGGAGAGAAATGAATATGGTCCTCACATACAGTAATCAAATCAGCCTTTGCCTCTTGTGTGAGGGAAACACAGATTTATTTAACTTAGAAATGTTTCTGTAAAGTCAGCTCCTAATTTGCAAACTTACTCATTCTAATAATAAATATTAGTTTACCAAACATAAGATTGTGTAGTGAGGCCTGAAATAAATACAGCTTAACTCTTAGAAATTGCAGGCAATTTTGAGAATAAATTACTTGCTTCAAGTCGACCCTCACAGTAAATATTGAAACAAAAGGCTGTCTGTAGGCTGCTGGGTGAGATCATTAGGCATTAGGAGCTTACCTGGAAGACCGGGTTGCCCTTGTCTGCCTGGAATGCCAGGTAAACCCTTCTCCCCGGGGAGCCCAGGAAGTCCTTGTGGCCCCTGCAGCCCTGGGAATCCTATTGGTCCTAAAAGGAACATAAAGACAGGGGCACTGGAATGGAGCAATATCAAGACAATGACAGTCAGGTGGACTGAACTCAGAGATTCACCCCAACAAAATTCAGGGCAAAGTCAGCCTTAGAATCCAGATGAGCCTCTCACTTTTTCTGTAAAGCTAAGAGCTGCCTCTGTCTGAAGGAAAAACAAGAGTCCGTCAAAAAGAGTAAGGAAAATGGTTTCATGATCAAGACAGGACTAAAATAGAATGAAAAGCCCTGTCATCCTGAACTTTCTCTGGAGACAGAGGACTGGGAGTGAAGGGAAAATAGGGGATGGGCTTGGCCACGTGGGACGATGTGCCTCCTGGCCCTGAGCTCCTGCCTCTCTTCCTCACAATCTCCTGTTTCAGCCCCGCCAGCCACTCAGTGCCTCATGTGTGAGGTTCCTTCTCTTCTTCTATGCCTACTAAGCCTCACTTCTCGGGGAAACCCTCTCTGGGGCCCCAACCCAACTCCATTTGCTCTTGATATGCTGTCATAGAAGAGTGTCCCTTACTCGGAGCACCTGCCTCAGTTTATATTGATGGATCCTTTAGTGTGAATGTCTGTCTTCCCCAATGAAACTCTACACTAAGTATGAGTGGGGACTGTTTAAACCTGCTCACTGTTAAATTCCTGTAGGTACCTAATAAATGTTTGTGGACTAGATCAAATATTTCCCACTGTTTAAGTTTGAAAAGGTAAAATGAAGAAAATCCCTCCTCCTTTCCACAGTTAAACACTCTTTGGACCATGCGCCCACAGGAATGGGAGTTAAGAAGCATGCTTAGTGGTTTCATCAATATTTCTAAGTCGTTGTATATCCTTTTGTTGGTAGCTGTTACTTATACTGCATAACATTTTCCCAATCCTGAAGAATATTTCCAGGTGGAGGTTCATTCTCTAGAATAGCAACTGGGAAGAAGGAGTGTCTATTTGGGAAAGGAACAAGGTTATATAGCTAGCCTCTTCCTTCCCTTTGGTGACCAGCATGCTTGCCTGTTTATCCAATTCTGGGGTTCAATAATTGGAAGCCCACATACCTGCAGGTATAAGCCACATTCTCTAAAATTGATTTTATTGCTAATAAAGTTGAAGAGGGTTGTTGTGTACTGTTGTGCAGGTTGTGCACTGCACCATCACAGGGATGCCATTTGCACTGTCGTCATGGCAGCCTTGTGGTAATTTTGATCTTCATTTTGCCCTAATCTTTTGCTTTATTTCACATTCGGTTCAGAAGTCAGGCAGAGTGCCAGTTATTGGGCTGACTTTGACAGTTGCTTCTCTATCCAGCTTCCTTATCTATGACATAAGGAACAAAATGATAACCATTATTGGTCCCTTTTCAACAAAAAAGTTCTATGAACTGAATAATTCTCTGAAACCTGGTGACCAAAAGCTAACATCCCCAAATATTAGCAGTTAGGTAAAAGTGAATTAAAAAATATTTTGGCTTTAAAAATTGGGGGAATCCAATAATGGAGACTCTCTCATGAAAATAAGAGAGCAAGGTCAGCAGTCTAAAATCGAACTGTCCACTACAGAAGCCACGAACAGCAATGTGGCTACTCAACACTTGGAATCAGCGTGTCCAAACTGGGGTGTCCTGTACGCTGAGACACGAACCAGACTTCAAAGCTGGGGAGGAGGAGTGTCTTAGCTGGGAGAGGGACTAGGTCGTACCAACAGCCCTGGTCGTTGCACTTACAATTTATATCAATGATGATATGATAACGGAGTAATATTTGAATATATTCTGTTAAAGGAAATATGAAAGTTCATGTCACTTATTTCTTTTTACTTTTTCAAATGGGGCTACCATGCCTTTTCATTACATGCATAGTTTGTGTTCTATTTCTGCTGTTAGTTCTGGTCTAGAAGATTATCAAGTATGTTATTAGGGGCTGAAGATGAACTTGTGTTTCTTCTTTTCACTCGTCCAACTGTTCCCCAAACTTGAGGACTCTTTGGGAAATTCAGGGCACTTAAGAAATGCAGTGACTACATCCATAGGAAATGAAGTTACCTCCCAGGGGTGCAGAAACCCAGACCCTGAAGGGCAAGATAACAAAAGTCTTCAGGCACTACTTAAGGAACAATGTGCATTCCTACCTTTCTGGCCATCTTTTCCATCACATCCTGGGAAGCCTTTGTGTCCTGGAGGGCCGGGTGGGCCCGGGGGACCAGGAGGCCCCGGCAGACCACAGTCTCCTGGTTCCCCTTTCAGAAGGTCGACACTCCCAGGGGGGCCTGGGGGCCCGGGCACTCCTGACCACAGGGAGGAGGCAAAAAACTTCTTTCAGTCAAAGACAAATGTGACTGCGGGCTACCTGAGAGCTCCTTAAGAAAAGTAACTGAATGCAAGCAAGAGATGGAGGGAATCAGAAGAATAAAAAAGTCAACAATATCAGAAGCGAAACAGGGATTGTCTCACGGAGCCCCCAAGCTGGGAGACGGTGTAAATGGTGTTAGTAACTGTTAGACAAATGAGCCTACAGAAAGCCTTCCTTCCCTTCCAAGCCAGCCCTTTTGGAAGCAGGGGTTTATGGCTTTTCTTTGCATTGTCATCCCCCTGCTTTAATATGATAGGTAGAAGGATGGATGGATGGGCGAACAGACACATAGATGACAGGCTTTTGAGAAAAATCTGGCTGATGGAAAAGGAATATTCACTCAATTAAATATTTAATCCTCTTTGAAAACAGGGGTCTACACCCAGGAAGTGAGTCCAAACTCTACTCCTACTTAGCTTCTACACTGCCTAGGGTATTTTTGAGCATTTTAATTTTCCCAGTGTCAAATAGAATCCCATAATCTTTTAGCCCACCCTGACCAAAATCCTAAAGCTGTAAAGGCAGGGGGTTGGGTCTGTCTGAAGGAGCGCTAGGAGCTATTAGCAACATGATTGTCTGCCCTTTGCAAAAGCCCCAGCCCCAGCCGGCTCCGGTCAGACCCCACTCTGGGAAATACTGCCTTGCTGGACTTCGTCCCTGCCAAGTGCCGAGAGGAACGACATGTACTGGGAGCCGCACTTGAAGAGACTCTGCTTCTGTGTGTGCCAGGCCTGGGCACAGTCACACTGGCCGGGGGAGTGGTGGTTCTCATGGCTGGTGCCAGAGACCACCGGGCAGCGTGAGATTCCCTCCGGCCGGAGGCTTCTGCACCCTCGTGCTCAGCACCATGCTGGCCCCGGCGCCTGGAGAGCCCCGCTGACGGTCAGAGCGCGTCCCCAGAGAGCCCCGGCCCAGGCTGGGCCTGACAGCCCCGCAGCGCCCACACTCCCCGCCTTCCCCATCCGCCCGCCTGGCGGGGCTGCTAAGGGGCTTCAGCTCTGCCATTCTCCGGTCTGACGTCCCTCCGGAGCTGGCGGCATCTAAGGAAGCGAGGGTCACCATCCTTTGCCAGGATTTTCTCATACCTCTTGGACCGTCGGGGCCAGGAGTTCCCTGATCTCCGGGGGGACCTGGGTCAGGAATGTCCCCTTTAGGAGCTCTTCCTGTGGCACCTGCAGGACCAGGGGATCCAGGTCTCCCTGGGGAGGGACGTGTTCAGATGTCAGCCTCCTCACGTTTGGAAGGTTCTGATTTAGTTATTAAGAGGGGCAAAGCATGCTGCGTCTTACCTGGGGGGCCGGGGGGACCTCTTCCTCCAGAAAGGCCTGGGGGAGAAATTCCCGGGCTCCCAGGGTCTCCCGTCTCCCCTTTCAGCCCGGGTACGCCCACTGGACCAGGTGGGCCCACGTCGTGCAAACCTTGGCGAGGGAAACAGCATTAGTACTGCGTCTTCTCCCTGTTTGTCCCTGTTGTGGCTCCTGGAAAAGAACTGCTTCCAGACGGGGTGACAGGGACCCAGCGGGTTGTGCTGAGACCGACCACCTGCTGCAGTGGTGGCCCCAAGGCTGAAAACTCTCCCTGGGTCGGCCGTTACGTACCCTCTTACGCCCCACCACACCGCAGGTCAGCCGCAGGTCAGCCATGGGCTTATTTTATGGTTATTTCCCCGGTTAAAACAAAACCAAAAAAACAACAGCGTATCAACGTTCCAACCTCTACCCCAGAGTGAAACCAAATGAGATCCAGCCATAAGGAATTATGAATACACTGGTTTGAAATTTAAAGTGGAAACTGGCATGTAAATAACCATTGCGGAGTTTCACACTGAAACGGGAGAACATCACTGGTTTCTTGGGGGAGGCACACATTTTATCAGGCTCTGTGGAGGAGCCTCTAAAATGAATCCAATGTGATCTAAATTAATTCTTGGCCTTCCACACTGTAGCAAGATTCTGTCTCTCTCCAGCAATTGCATCAAACCCCGTGGTGCGACAATCCAACCCTCTGCCCAAACACCCTCAAACCTCCATGTCTGAGTCCATCTGCCCTGTCTGGTTGTGGGCTGTTTTTCTGAGACACTTAAGCAACAAACGAGCACTATATTAAGATACCAGAACAAGCTCCAATGCAGTTGTTGATGATTAGCCTGTTTGGGATAGCAAAGATAACAGCGACTCGTTCAGGTCATTTGTTTAAGCAGCAGCCCATTGGGGGCGCAAAAAGTACTCATTAGACCCACGTGGTCGTACTTGCCATCACTACACTGAATACCAAAAAGACAAAACCTCCCAACTATCTGTTATTTGTAACATTTAAAATTCGAGTTCCACCTATGCAATTATTCAGAATATTTCTAGCAGAGAGATAATCCCAAGCAACATCAACAGAAGTCACTGGTAACCATCTATTCCTTCTTAAATTGGGTTTTCTCAGGGGTCCTTTTTAGAGAAGTCGTCTTCAGTACTAAGAACAGTCCAATACTGTGTCTCTCAGGTAAGCCAATTTCTTAGTTCGGCACCCCAAATCCTGTGTAGTGAAGGAATACCACCAGCATCTGAGGCTGCTGACTGCAGTTCAATCTTTTGCAAAGGATTTTCTCTTACCTGAAGTGCCTTTGGCTCCTTTCTGACCCTTTAAGCCATGCAAGCCGTTCAGACCGGGTGACCCGGAGGGACCTGAAACATATCACAGGCCTGTGACCCACCAGGGAAGATCCAGTGTTGAAGTTCACCGGCCATTGGGCCCAGGCACGCCCAGGGGACGACTCGCTGATGGCCACCGACAGATTGTCCAGGCGGGAGCCATGAGGTCACACTGTCTAGATGTCATTATCAAGGCTAAATCCGTGCCAGTGGTTATTACTTAACACATTCATTTGATGGACATTTTCTGCAAGACAGCTTAACACATTTCTTTGGTTTTACCATACTTCTCTTGGTTTATGACCATCTCTCTCTCTATCCAGATACAGTCTAGAATTACTGAATCTTGGTGTAGGAAGGGACCTTCGGTTCTAGGACAATGAACTCATCCTAGACGAGAGAAAAGAGATTGGACTAGAGCAAAACCAGGCCTCCTTCCTCCCAGGCTCAGAACCTGTCCACTCCACCATGGTCTGTAGATACTAATTTCTTCAGGATCTAGTCAGGTAAATGTAGTAAGACAATAAGGACAGGTGGAGTCTGTGACAAACTGGGGAATACATGACCTACCTAACTTTTCTTCAAGTACCGTACTACTCAGAAAGAAGAAGCTTGCAGGGCAACTTTGGTTGGTGCTATTTCTTTGCCACTACTTCTTTCAAAACAAACCACCCTGATATCTCTTTATTGAAACTAAATTTATTTCATAACGATCACTGAAAATTCCTGTCTCTGTAATTAGGTATGATCTCTTTCTGCCAGGCATCAGTGTAGTCCTCCAAGGAGATATCTACCAGCCTGACTTCACGTGAACAGTGAACACCTATCAATCTATAGATTCATAAATATATAAATGTTTAAAGTATCTATAATACATTTATATTATAACATATAGATATATAAGTGTATAGATTTATAGGGAGGGAGTAGAGGAAGGAAACAAGGCACAGACAGAGGGAAGGACAGAGGGAGGAAAGGAAGAAGGCAGACGACTGAGATGTACAGAACATTTCCGGGAGATGAGCCCTCTGCCAGGTGATTCATACATGTCTTGTCTCACTGATTTGGGGGAAAGAATCTTCTCCCCAGCCCCTGGCCAAACCTGGTGACCTTCCAAATTCATTGGTGGATCTTTATTGGAGGCTGAGAGCCAGCCAGCCCCTCACTCAGTTTAGGGCCACATTCCTGTCCTTTGCAATCGTAATGCCTTAGCAAACATCAAATGGCCCTCAGCTACCCCATGATACCTACACAGAGCTCCCCCGATGCCCTTCTGCTGGTGCCTGTCCCACACCATGCCACAAGCAAGTCTTTGGGTGACTGGATTACTTGGGTAAATTAATTGAGTGCAAGATAAAGTCTTAGTCATCCCATGCCCCCATTTAGCATGTCTCCTGACACACAGTTGGTGTTCAAGACGTGTTGTTGAATGGGTGAGTGGATGCATGAATGAGTGAGTGAGAAAATTTACCACAGGGAGGGCTGGGACGTGGATGGGTGGAGAGAAAGCTGTGGGAGGGAGGGGGTACAGTGTCTATTTGCACGTTACATGGTCTTTGGTAGATTTATGGGAGGAATAAGATTTGATTAAGTTAGAGGCATCCATTTGTGTATAAATAATTTAAGTGCTAATTATTATCTACTCATTAATGCAAGTCCTCTGTGGGCTTCTTATTAAAAGAGAGAACACTAAGCTAGTTCCACTCTATTTATTATCAGTACTTGAAATGGACATTATTCTATTTTTAAACTCAAACTTTAGATTGGTGCAAATGAGCCATATTCTCTCATCCCCACCCAAAAAAAAAAAAAAATGGGAATGCACCCTTATTTTTCCTAAAGCTCTTATTTCCTAACCACTTTTCACAGTTCTGGCTGAGTTTATTTTTCAATCCTCTTTCCTCTTAATGAGCCAACCTTTCAAGTCTGCACCAAAAGCACACATAGACCTTCTTCATCTGCCAAATCTGGATATTTATTGCAATCTATCTGAAATGATAATAAATTTTTTGAGAACACTTTGCTATTTCAATGTGTTTTGATCTCCAGCTGGAGCCACCAAGATTGATGGCTTGGGGGACTTAGCTGGGGTGGAATGTCTCAGCTTCTGCCAACTCTCCATTGTCCCATCAACGCATCCAGATCCCGGGCTGTCACAGGCCCAGGCCCTCACCATTGTTGAACTGGCCGACCCTTATCTGACCCAATGTTATCTTTCTAAATCGAATGCAGCTACATCTGGGTAGGATTTTAAGGGCAATTTTTCCTTTTTACTGAAAGCTTTTTATCAATCCCATCTCTAAATCAGAAAGTTGTTCATGCATAAAATATATACAGTGCAGATGAGAGGCAATTAGGCTAACAAAGCACATTCCTTGGTAATGAGGATTTTTTATTCACCTCTCTGGCCGTCCTCCTGCTTAACACCCTTCACGTAAGGCTGCACCTCCCTATGCTCATGGGACAGCACGCGCTCCCCCCAGTCAGAGAATCGAAACTCCTGCCCCAGCTCTAAGGGGAATCACAGCCTCCATCCCAGTTAGCCAGCCCACTCAGAGACTGGGTTCTCACTGAGGTTTTCTTTTGTTCTAAAGCCTGAAAATGCTACTCTATCCCCGGTGGCCTTTGTACAGGTTTATACTTTAAATGGGGTGACCATCTCGTCCCTGTGCATGGGGGACTTGCCCAGTTCTGGCATCCTGAGGCACCCTTCCATCCCAGGCAAACCCGGACAGCTGGTCACCCGAACGTGAAAGCCAATGGGAAAGGGACCCACGTAACTACAGGTAATGGTCGAACACAGTTGAAAACATATCAAAACAGATTCTGAAATAAGATATATATGATTTTTGGTTCAGAAACTACATGAGTGCCTACTGAGGAGAGGCACAAGAGCATAAAGACATGGTCTCCTAAGCCCCAGAGCTTCTGTCCCCAAATGTCCTCGGTGACAGCTGCTGACAAGACAATGGAGAGCACGAGAGAAGCAGTCCCTGACCTGACAGAACAAATGGGCAATTACTTCAGGAGCGGTAAGTGCTGTGGGGGCAGGGCTGGAAGGACACTCCTCTCAATGGAGAAGAGGGGAGAACATTCCCATGACTTCCACAGCTGTAACATGCATGGCATTTCTTTCCAGATAAACGACATTTCTAGGTGCCTTTATTTCTGAGGAAACATTTCGCTTGCCACCAGCCAAAACACCCCAATCCACATCGTTATGGTTGTTGCCATGGAGCAGACAGTTGTCTTTAGGTTTTCATTATTCCAATCTCATGAACGCCTAACGAGGAACCGAGTGTCTTCCCTTTGGAGGGCATATGTGCTTGAACTTAATTTAAATCTACAAATCAAGCCCTTTTTAGCATATGTTTAAGTTAGAGTTTAAATCTGACTGAACACAAGCAGGACTCAGAATCCACGTGGCTGTTCCAGCAGAACAAACAACTTTGGAGTTCAACAGCTGGTTTGTTCAAACAAGATAATCAGTCCCCTTGACTTATTTAGAACATACTTCAAATATTTAGTTTCTCAGATCAAAGTGTTTCTGCTGGAGTACAGTTCATTTTTATATCAGCATGATAAACTGCAACAATGGATTTATATTGTGGACGTTTTTGTTTTCAGGAATGTATTTGCGGTTTGGTCGGGTTGGGTTGGGTTTTTAAAGACCGGTTGTTCATTGGGCAGTTTGCAGAGACACAGTGTCTCTGTGTGGCCAGCAAGCACTACTGCTGCGTCCGTCTGTGTGCTGGGGTGAGTATTTGGGTTGACAGAGTCACTGCCTCGCCTTCCCGTGACAAACTCATTATTTTATAGCACAGAACTCCAATGTGGTTAGAGATTATTTTTCGAGTAATTCTGTTACTCAGTCAACGTCATTGGCTATTAGTTTTTAAATAACATATCATAGTGAGGGCGCCTGGGTG